GGTCATGGCGAAGAGATAGCAAGCGCGGTGGATTTCAAAAGGCACATCGAGGCGCTACACTACCTGCTTCAGCTGTGGCCAGGTGAGACACAGGCTCCGCCCATTTTTTAACTCCAGTGTTGCCATGGAAACTTTGATCAGCATCTTATTTTGATGTTCATATGTTCTTCCTCAGTGCCGACACATCGAGTCCCAGCAGACGAAGTCACCTCACCTCCCCCCACCACCCTTACCCCTAAGCCCCTGGGTCAGCAGCCACAGCGGCATCCCGCGCTGCGACTGGCTCTGCCCCAGAACCCGGAGGAGGTGGTGGTGTCACGTCGGGGTCGTGGCGGTCTCGCCCGGCTGGATAGTCCGCCACCCATCAATCGGTACGCCGGAGACTGGAGCATCTGTGGCCGAGATCTTCTGTCTGGACAGGAGGCCGATTACGACGAGGTGGCAGGAAGTGAGAGTGACGGAGGTGAGCGAGAACTTTTAACTCTAAAACCACTGAGTGAACTCCTGTAAGCCTCAGCTGTACATTGTGCTAACATAGATACTAAAGGTTAACAGCTAGTTCACATTTGAAAAAAATTATGATTCTGAAGTTTAGTTGTAGTAATCCCTGTTGTCACTCTCACTCCTCCTGGTTGCTGTTTCAGGCAGCGGGGATGAAGAGGAGGAGGAGAAGAAGGAGGCGTGGTCGTCCGGAGGAGGAGGAGGTCTGTACGTAGACGAGTTTATGGATTTTGATGCTCCATTTAACTGTCGTCTCAGTCTGAAGGACTTTGATACTCTGATCCGCGACCTGGACCGGGAGCTGGCCAAACAGATCAACATCTGTCTGTAGAGGAGGAGGAAGAGGAAGAGGAAGAGGAAGAGGAGGAGGAGGAGGAGGAGTGGTCAGCAGTCTGACACGTTAAATCACAGTCTGTGAATCAGAATATAATTTGACCTCAATTAAGTTAAAAAACTTTACTTCAGAAGAGATAAATTATAAATAAAGTTGTTGGACAACTGACCTCCGACCAGCTGTTAGTTTGACCTCTGACCTCCTCACAGCTTCCTCTGATCGTTACAGAGACTTTTTCAGAGACTTTTTCAGGACACCAAACAATGAGAAAACCTTCAGATTTTTCAGCATTACAATTTTCTCTCACAATAAAAAGCTGAAATCCCATAAATATGAGAGTTGTGCGGTGGCCCAGATGTGTCAAAACGAACTGCAAAAGCCCAAAACAAATGCAAAAGCCGAGAGTGAGGCAAGTCCCGTCGCGTTACCTTATCATTTATTTATTGTTTATTTTATTCAATAACACACAATAATAATAATAAAAACAAAAATATGAAGTTCATTGGTCAATATGTTGTAAACTAAATAAGAAATCAATAAGGTTTGATAGCAATCGGACCAACTGTTCAGGAGGACCATCTGGGCTCATGAACCTCATTGTTTCCTGTTATTGGACCAAGTTTCTACATCATTCCAGATCAGTAATATGACACAGTAACCGCTGTAGCTCACTTTCGACTTCTACAGTTCGATCGACATCTCTGGGCCACCGTAGTATTGCATATGAAATCACATATTTATGGGAAACCTGTTATTATGTCTAACATGAGATTTGGACGTCGTAATCGGAGGATGCACTTCCTACAGCACATTGTTGCTCGCTGGATTAAATTGTCGAGCTGTAGGAGACGAACGCGGTTCTCGAAGCGTGTCCGGATGTTTTCTGCGGTCATCGTGGAGGACGAGCTGTGCCAAAAATAAAATATCTAATTTATTTGTCTGATCCAAAGTTAGACGCAGCTTCAGTGTTAATGTGGAGGGACGACAGGAAGAAGAACCTCTTCAGTATCGATGTACAGACGTTCTGCTGATGAAGACCCTCTGAAGTCACAGAACTGAACTGGGTATCAGGGTCGGATCCTGCTGGATCCTGCTGGATCCTGTTGGACCGTATCAGGGCTGTTTGCACTGCTGAAGCCATAATTGTTGAAACAAACTGCAGACCTCATCGCTCTGCTGCTCTCAGCTGTTCCCTTTCAGAACCTCAACCTGCTTTTTCTATCACATAAGACACACCTGTGTGACCTCTGACCTCTAACCGTGACTTGATTTGGACGTCCACATTCACAAAAATATCAAACGCGTGAGATAAAGTTTTCCTTGTTCACACTGGCAGTGTTTTTATCTTGGTGGTTCCGTTCAATATTGGAACCTTGGCGCTCTCTAGCTAACGGCCTTTCCACCAGTTTTTCGGGGACAACCTGTAGAATATGACGCTTTGGTTGCCAAAGAAAACCTGATTTATTTTTGGTGAAAATGCTCCGAACGAACTAGGCGGGTGACCTGGATCGGAGCCGGTTCCCTGTTGGTGGAAAAGGTCTGTGAGAAGCTTTGGGGTCGTATTATAGGAACTTCCTTGTAGATCCCATCCTAGCTGTAACCATGGTAATAAGATTTAGGACCAGATTGACCCCCAAATCCCACCAGAGCTGATCGCGCTGGTTCTAGATAATGCTCGTAATTCCAATTCCATGTAATTTGGTGACTCTATTTTTGATGGAAACTGCAATTCACTCGCATCAAGCAGCTCACAGCAGAAGACACTGACAGAAAGTCGGACACAGAAACACAATAGAGAATCTGGTCAGTTTAAGTAAAATGACCCCGAAGACTCAGAATTTCACGCTACATCAACACTGTGACAGGAAGTCAGTCAGTCAGAGGAGATTTGTTTTCTTCTTAAGGATTAAGTAATACAAGTAAACACCGTCGGACAGGAAGATGCTCTGAATAGCTCTCAGTGGGGTTTGAAGACGTGTGTCCACAGAGTCGAAGCTCACCGCACACGTGACGGCATAAATACGTGCCCTGTGGAAATTTGTGGGTTAGGTTTCACTGTTCTACCAACTAATGCTAGCTGTTAATCAGTTAGGCTGCTCTTTTATTGCCAACAAAATGCTAACAGGTAGAAGTTCTTCCTCTCTTATATCTCCAGTATCCCTGCAGATGTTTCCTCTAACTCCTCCTTCTTTAGGTTTTTACAGATTTATTTAGCTCACTTAGACTCTTGATTTGGGAAGTGTCTGTAAAGCTCTTTAGCTTGCTGTTAGTGGCTCGTTACGTACCTCACAGGTGTCCCGGTTCCTAACACAGCCGATCAGATGGTCTCTGTGGGCGGGTGGAGCAGCAGAGCGATGCGAGCTGTCTTCAGTATTTTGACGGTACAGAGTTTCTCACTGTGATGAGTTTGTGAAGCCACAGAAGGAATTGATGCCATATTCAGTGTTATTGATTAATCTGTTCTGTGTTTGTTGTTTTCTGACAGTATTACTTTGTTTTGCACAACTTCAGTAAGCACTTATGTTTTTTATTGATGATGACGATGTTTCTATGCAGATGATGTAACCAAAGTGTTGAAGCACAGTTCCTGTTGGAACCGACCACAGCAGCCTGTCTTATTAACCTGACCAACTATTAAACACATTATTATTATGGTTGTTACTCACTGAATGACGGGGCTCTTATTGTTACTGGTAGCGCAACAACTATGTAAATATACCCTTTAAACATTTAATATTACACATCAAGTCATATTGTAACCCAATTAGCACTGTGTGCCAAAACAATTACAAAAACATTTATTTGTATTTTTATATCAAAGTCTAATCATTTTTTCTTCGTGTAAAAAAAATTACACATGCTAACGTTAGCATACTAACCAATTTCAACCAATAATATCAACCCGTTCACTCTCTGCTGATAGAATCTCACATATGGGACCTTTGAATTATTCTTTCAGTTTTACTTCTGGCACATATGGTCCTCCATACAGGGTGATACATGGTAATGACTGGAGGGATTATATAAGATATTTAGTTTGTGCATTCTTGTTCACAGACTGAAATACGTCTCAAACAACAAGAATGATTAAAATGTTATAAAAAGATCAATTGTAACGCTGATGAATTCATTCCTTTAATAAACCTCAGAGAGAATTTCAGCACCTTAAAAGGACACTGTGCTGCTGGTACAACAGAGTCTCTGTGCCCTCAGCGTCGTCTGTTAGGACTCACATTAAAAGTCTTCCCTTTAGCTGCTGCTGGGGGACTGTATGCCACATTACAATGCTTTTATTTTGATGAGTTGCTTCAGTGTCAGTCCTATTATTAATCTATAATGTATAGTTTTTATTTAACTACACTCTTATTATTTATCTCACTCTATATCATTAATATATTTTTTCCACCGTTATACTATTAGTAATATTCAAGGTTATTTTATTTACATTTACAATACAGGGTGGTATGACCTGTAGGTATAGTTACCTTTATGCTACGTGATTACACAGTCGGGAGGGTTACTGTAAAAATGAATAATTAATGTAGTCAGTGACCTGATCCAGGTATCACAATATTAAAGTAACTTGATTACTTTCTGTTACTTTTGGATTACCTCAACACCAAATATGAAAATAAAGATGAGAGAAAACAATTATCAATAAGAAGTATTGTAATCCTGCTAATAATCCATATTTTCACTACATGTAACAGTAATCTGATTACATCTTTTTTGTAACTGTAATGGATTACAGTTACCTTTCTTTGTATCCTGATTACATAACACATTTGATCTGTTGCTCACACATTTAAAATGGATTAATAAAAATATAAAATACTCATTTGTATGTTAAAGTGCTGAGGAAGAGTTTATCAGTATAGTTAGTAAATAGATGATTAATTATTTATTGATCTGTTTTATTATTGTTATTTGTCCTAATTTGTCTTTCAGTTAATAAAACGTATTATCATGTATTTCCGGTCATTGTCCGCCTGTCAGTCTGAACTCAGGGCGGCAAACTCCCAGAATCCTCAGCTGGACGACAGGCTCCGCCCAGCCGCTACGTCATTGCTTGGACGCTCTGTCTGTTTTTTGGCTGCTCTCTGATTGGCTGAGAGAGCGAGCAGCTGACGGTGCAGAGCGCTGATTGGCTGCTCTGTCTCTCTGTCTCCCTGTCTGTCGGGGGGCGTGTCTGAGCGCGCGGACGGGTTCTGCTCGTTAAAATGGCCGAAAAATAAAAGTAAAAGTTAAAAATACGGAAACAGAACCGTGTTGGATCGCTGTCCGGGTCCGGGTCGGACTGAGTCGGATTCTAGTGGATTCTGCTGAGAGTGAAACTTTCCAATGAACTGCAGGTGAGAGTCGGTATGAAACTGCGCCACAGCTTCCGGTCTGCTTCAACTCTTCATCATGTCTCTAACTGACCTCTGACCAGGTTCTAAATCATATAAAATAATACAAAGCATACAGAGCATCAAACTGTGTTTAAGAGTTAAGAGTTTAAGAGTTCTGGTGTTTATTATGTTGACACTGTATAACTGTTTTATATTCTGTACTGTTGATGTGCTGCACTGGTTTCTAACCTAACTCTTATTGAGTAAACTTACACATTTTATGGATTTACAGCTGCACAATTAATTAAAATATTAATATATATATTAAATCACAATATAACAAAATGCTATATGAAAATAGCAGAAGCTGCAAAATGCTTTTGATAAAGATAAAATGTGACAATCAGCATTATAATGAAATACTGTAGTTCAAACAGATTTAAGAAAACATGTTATAAGGCGTTCGGTCTAGACCTGCTCTATTTAAAAAGTGTTCCGAGTAATTTATGTTATGAATTGAATTGGTGCTATACAAATAAAATTTCATTGAATTGAAAACAGATTTTTCATTGGACTCTTTATAATAATAATGATTTATTTAGAATTTGAATGCAAAAACAATAAATAGAATTTATGTTCTATGAAAGACTTTGTATTTGTCAGAACTGTTGTTTGTTGTTGTTGAGTAAACAATAGTGTAATCATCCGTCTTTGCTCTCTACGTCTTTATTACTATAAAGTGTGTAAAAACTAAAAGGTTGTAAATTTAAACACGAAATGCACCTCTACCTATTGTATTGATCAAAAACAATAATAAAACAATAACAACTGATAAACTGGATGCAAAAGGTTGAAACCTTGAGAAACTCAGGGAAACTATTTCATTATTTATTATTATTTATTAATCAATAATTTAGTTTTTGTCTTCCTGCTGTACCGTTCCCTCTCCAGGGTCCTCCACATCCTGAGCCCTCGCTCCGGGGGTTCGTCTCCCATCATGCCCGTGGACATGGCCATGAGGATCTGCCTGACCAGCTCTCCTCCTGTGCGCTCCTTCCTCAGTAACTATGACAACCGCTGTTCTTCATCGGCAGCCGCTCTGTTGAAACACTGTGAACCGCTGCGACCCTGTCTGTCCTCCTTCAGTAGCAACATTGCCACGGCAACCACGACCTCGGCGAGCACGGAGCTCGGTGGCGGCGGCCCGGCGTGGCTGAGGAGAAAGAAGAAGAAGAAGAGCGTAGTGTTTGCAGACTCTCAGGGCCTCGCGCTCACCGCCATCCACGTCTTTGACGAGGCCGAGGACCCGCTGGCCGAGCTGCAGTTCCACCTGACGGAGATAGAGGGCGCCACAGCAGGACTGCACCTGGGAGACAGCGAAGGTGAGTGAGCTGAAGAACAGCTGATCATTGATACACTGCAAGTTTAAGTGGTTGATTGATCGATTGGTCAATCAACCATTTTGAAGTTATTCTCCAGTTGAGCCTCTCAGTTTCACACCTTTCCTGTTTCTCTTATTTCAGAATAAACTGAATATTGTTGTCTGATGTGTTTATGTAAAAAGCTAAATGTCACAAAAAAGCCTAATGTAGCACTGACATCACAAAAAAATCTGGATGACAATAACTATAAATATATCTGTTTAAAAATCGTTCAAACTCAAGTGGATGGCACAACCTCACTGCAACTTCAGTGACAGTGGAGAACAATATGGTTGGAATCACTTTCTATAGGCCTGTGTACCGAACTTCAGCCAAATTGCTACAACACTATCGAATATTGAAAAATACCTTGTGATTCGGTACCAATGGTCGACTTAAGGAGTAAGAGAGGTGGTGCGTTTATGCCCAGTGACGGGTCTTTGTTGTTGTAGTTTTTACTGCGAGCTGCTTACAGTGTCTACATAGATAACTAATATGTGCTGCTTGTTAGCTATTAGCCAGTGCAGCTAGCTTGTATCTGCTCGTCCGTTCACCACATCGTGCACCAGGAGGAAGCCCTGGCGCATCCTCTTCTCGTGGCACCTACATTTCTATTAACTTATCTCTCTTGATCAAACACAGATTAAAGCTTGTTAATGATTTAGTTGGTGAAATTGCTAATCTCTTAACTAACCCCATTCCCTTTTGTTTGTCTTCCAGAAGCTCCAGATTGCGGTCCAGGCCTGGTTCTGGACTTCATCCAGCCGGGTTCAGACTATCTGGACCTGAGGAACCGGCTCAAAGCCCAGCAGGTTTGTCTAGAAACCTGTTCTCTCCAGGAGCGTCTGCTTTCAGGCACTGTTCAGGTCCGAAACCTCTCCTTTGACAAGTCCGTCTCAGTCCGGATCACCTTTGACTCGTGGCACTCTTTCCAGGATGTTCCATGTCTGTACCTGAACAACATCTACGGGCGCCCTGACACCGACACTTTCTCCTTCTCTATCTTGGTACCGGAGGTCCTCGAACCCTCCAACACAGTGGAGTTCTGCATTCAGTACCAGTCTCAGGACAACACCTTCTGGGACAACAACCACGGGAACAACTACCGGCTGGCTGTCATGGACCCAAACGGCAGCATTGAGAGTACCGTCGGGATGGAGAGAGACCGCGGTGGAGAGAAGAAGGAGGAGATGGAGTTTGATCCCTTTGGAAGTCCCAGGACGTCATCAGGGATCTTCCCTGAGTGGCAGAGCTGGGGTTGTGTTGAGACCAGCGCCCCCTACTGGTGAAACCGTCACAGGACATGTTTTATGTTATGTTGCACTTACCCTGTGATTTTGTTCCGAAGATGTAAGAGATTCACAGGACCCTCACAGGAGCACTGAAAGCCACATTATATCCTCTGGAGACGTGTTGGTAGGATACACTACGGATTGTTCTCACTTGAATCACTTTAGCTGCCCTATTATGAGTTATTTAGAGTATTTGTGAAAGTGTTAACGTCTGGACGGAGTATGGAAGGACTCAGGATAACAGCCAGTTCAACATCAGGTGGTAAAAATGTCTCGACCCAACACTTGTGATGAATGAATTGGCCCACGTGGTTTCAGGGACCGACCCTGGGCCCGAACTGGCCTGATTCTCCGCTCACATCTTGTAAGATTTGAACCCCAACAAACAAATCCCACTGCCCTATAAGAGTCAGACCTGGCTCACATCTGGTCCTCCTGTGCCGACACCTGGCCGCGATTGGCCCAACTCAGCTGGATACTGTGGATGACCTCATGGGATCTTAAATCTTAAAAAAAATTACAAAGGGATTTATAGTTGCTTTTTAAAAGCATCCCAACACTTCAAGAATTTGCAAGATACACATTTTTAAATTAGTCCCTCCAGGAAATTGCGACCATTAACGCAAATTCAACAAATCCTTGTGAATTCTGTATGCAGTTTTGTCACACTACAACATTTCTGCAAGACCAATCATTCTAGTTTTTTGGGGACAACGTTGATAACGGCCACAACTTCCATCTTTAGCATGTAGCATTAGCATGTAGGTTGACTGTTTTAGCAATTTTCATTTTCTCTCGCATGCAGAATCCTGGAGGGTCTGTTAAATTAGCAAGTATGACAATGAGCACAAAGGTATTCAGGAGTCGTTAGGGCTTTTTAAAAGCATGCAAAGGATTCTGTGACTCACAAGGATCCACAAGGTGACCTGTAAGGCTTTAGAAGTCTCACACAGATTACAAGTGCTTTCTTAAAACTTCCCAAAGATCCATTGGGGGGGGGGGGTTCAAGGCCTTACACATGTTTTAAAAACATCCACAAGGCTTCATTCATTAAAAGCTTTTCACAGGAGTTTTGTGGTTTGTATAAAGGACACAAACGATGAATTAAACAACGCAAGACTTCATATTATCCAGTTGAGTGACCAAGCTTTGTTTTTTACAGCTGAACAGCGTGAGGATGGTTGACTGAAGGAGGATTTATACACATTCAGGTCCAGGGATGTCAAATGTTCCTCAGGTCTTTGGGATTTATTTTCCTGCAGGTTTCTCTTCATTTCCTGCATTCTAGACCTCCTTCATCAACAATTCCAGACCTTCTTCATTTTTCACCATGACAGCTGATCATCGGGGCGTCCAAGTCCTGAAACAGCAGCCAGAGAATACCAGCAGCATGGCTTTAAGCCCTAAAATACCAGCCTGAAACACTGTGTTCAACAGATTCACGATGCCTGAAACCAGCCCAACATTTAGGGTTTGACAAGAGACAAATTCCAGTTTTATAAATCTGTGCTGTGGACTAAATAATGAAAACCTTTCTTCAGACTCTGGGTGAAGGTTGTGACACGGTGTTGAATGCTGCGTGTTTAACCTCAATACTTTCAGGCAAAGTTCACCTTTGATTCAGTTCAAGGATCTCTAACATCCAGACCCTAACCCAAAAACCTAACCTGACCCAGTCTGGGTCCTGAGTAGAGATGTTCCGATACCAATTTTATCTTACGATACCTGAACTTTGCGTATTGGCCGATACCAAAAACAGATCCAATACAATTGTGTTCAAATATATATAAAAGCCTCTATGATTGCTTTTATTGTCATGGCCTGGCTCCCTGAGACTGACTCTGACACGTGGGTGCATCATGACTTCACAATCCTGGGAAAAAAAGTCCTATTTCAGGGCAAATAAAGTACAAGGTATCGGATCGGTGCACTGACACACATACCGCATTTTAGGCAGCGCTATTATTGAACGGGGCTGAATACAGATGTCCTCGAGTTGGCTCTGTGGGGACTCGAGGGATTATAGGGTCGAGATCTGAGGTTTAGTGACATTCAAGGCCATGATTGAGATCTGAGGTTTGTCTTCAGTGTATTTTTTTAAAGAACGTGCACTTTAGTTGATATTGTCCTTTGAGCTTTGGCATCTGCTGTTAGTGGGAAACCAACCGATGTTTTAGCTTTGAAAGGTGGTGTAAAATACTGTAATCATAAATGATGGTGTTACAGGGCAATAATAACATTTAGAGGGAAGACTTCTGGTTCAATGTCATCACGACCAAACCACAGGCTGAAAACCTACCATACATTCATCTTTACACCTATGCAAAAAAGGGTCTTTAGCATGGAAACAGAGCTGTAGTTCTGGAGTTTGTTCTCAAAAGGTTTTTTCTGGTGTCTCGGTTTCTTTGTTTCTGACTCCGTCTCGAGGGAGTTCAGACTCAGTCAGCGTCGGTCTTGTGGGTGTTTTGACTCTTTTCTGGATCTGTTGGGAGTCAAGTTTAACTGTCTTGTCTCTGTCTCGTAGGACTCAGACTTGCTTTGGTCTCGATGACTTGACTGATTGATCTGTTTGACTAGGACTTCACTTGTGGCAGTTTTGACTCTTTATTCTTTCTGGGACTTGGACTCAAGACTTGAATTTTGACTTGACTCTGTCTCTTAAAGGGGTTATGAACCTGAATTGTTTCTGGGAGTTTTCTTAGAGGGGTCCTGACTCAGACTTGTCTTGGCCTCTTAGAGGAATTTTGACTTGTATTTCTTTTTGATTGGATGTCTTTTTGTGGGAGCTTTGACTCAGACTGGTTTAGAACTTTCTCTCTCTTAGACTCTGACTCTTGATTCAGACCCTGTCCCATTTGGACTTACTGACTTACTTGCACTAACCTCCCTCAGTTTAACGATGTGAAACAATGACATTTAAAAATAATCCTCCTCAATCTAATCTCTGAAGAAGACCGTGATTTTAATGTTACATGTACTGAAAGGTGTGGAGGATCCCAGACCCTCAGGATCCCCAGCGGTTTACCGTGTGCTTAACGGTTCATTATAGTTTGCTACTATATGCACCAATAAAGCACATTATGAACCGGTAAGGACATTTCGGTGTTATTACCTAAACTTGATGCATGGGTCAAGTTATGTCACCACAAGTTAATTTTGTTGGTTGGTGGTTTCTTCTACAGCACCTTCCGACATCTCCCACAATGCCTCAGTATACTGGGATGTGTCTGTGATTGACGAGGTAAAGAGAACCAGTGAACCAGCTCGTTTATACAGAGTTTTTTTTCTGACGTATTCTTGTTTGTTAAAAGGAAAATTCTGGTATTTTTTAACCAGGACCCTATTCTCATAATGGACCTTTATCACAGCAGCCATTTTGACATTAAATAGTAGGGTAAACACAGGTGTTACCAGTTATACTAATTAAGGTTCTGTTCCATTCAGGTCAGACAGTCAGGGTGCTGCTGTTGTTCGTGTTGTTTGCCACACTTTTTCATGACAAAATGGCTGCTGTGAAAAGGCTCTATTGTTTCCATTGTGACTATGAATCATGCTAACTTTGCACTCAGAGATTCAGGAGATGTAAGTAGTCAACATGATCCTCCTTAAGCTTTCCAGGTAAGTTAACCTAGTTTTAGCTAACTAAACTAGCTGCTAACTAGCTAACCAGACTAGCTGCCTCTGTTTCTGTGACCTTCGTCTGTGTGACCTTTACTTTAGCATCAGCACGTAATCAGGAAGTACAGAAACGTCACAAACAGGTTGGAAAATACCAGAACTTCCTGTTTAAATACGTTTTTCTTTTATTGGTCCACAGTTCGAGTGGTTGTCAGTCGCTGGCAGATTACAGCATCGCTGTGATTGACTGTCAGCATGATTGTCACGTTTTATTTCCTGAATCATGTGAGTGCAGCATGAAGGTGACGGTGAGTGGAGAGGTCAAAGGTTAAAGGTTAACTGCATTCTGAGGTTCTCTGGTTTTCTTCCTATTAGCCTTTTGTTAGCATGTAGCTGTTCCCCTGGCGATGGTCAGTTAGTGACCTCAGTCGTTCCAGGATGTTGCTATGCGTTTTTTAGTCTCCTGCTGTAGCCACGTTGTCATGGTAACGGCTGTAGATGGAGAGCTAAAGATAATACCTGCACTTCCTGTTTAGTCTGTAGGCCTTAACGCAGATTAAAAGCCTTTTACTGTGTGTGTGTGTGTGGTGTGTGTGTGTTGGGCTGACGTATTGAAGCATGTTGACAGGAAGTTTGTGAAGACG